TTTAAAATTTTAGAACAACTAAAGTTTTCAACATATATTCTGCTCTTCTCAACATTTAAATCGAGATATAATCACATAAAATGAAGTACATGTGTACAGTTTGATGGTTTTGGTGACTGAATATACTAACATAGACAGTAGCCCACCTGAGATCAGCCAGTTACCATAACTCTAGAAAGTACTTTGTTTCTTTTTTCTTCTGAATGGAAGCTCCTCACTCCCTACCCACCAAGTGCAACCAGTAGCCTTATTTGGGTTTCGGTTCCCTAGATCCATTTTGTCTGCTCCTGAATTTCATTGGAATGGTCTAATGCAGTATGTATTCTTTTGTATCTGGCTTATACATTCTGCTCTTGAGACTTGTCCATGTTTTCACACAGATTAGCAGTTAGCTCCTTTTTATTGCTAGGCAGTGTTATGTTAGATGATTTGTTTATCCATTCTCCTCCTGAAATACATTTGGATGGTTTCCAGATTTTTCAATATAATGAATAAAGTGGCTACTAGCATTGCGGTATAGCTACTTTTTGTGAACATATTTTATTGCTTTTGGTTAAAAGTTAGGGGTAGAAATGCTAGCGCCTAAGTTTGGTGTATGTTTAACCATTCCCAAAACTGCCAGTTTGCTTCTCACAATAGGGATTTTGTTAATGAAGCCAATTGTCCTACGAAGTGAATTTTTTCTTTTATTTCAGTTTATGATTTGTTTTTGTTGTAAGGTATTGATATAGTATGGGTATGCATTCTTCTAAAATGTATTCTTCAGTTTCAGATTAATTACATCACTTTAGTTTTTCTTTAAAAATATTTCTGAATTGCTTACAAAACAAATTGAAACCTGGAAGGTTCATATTGAAAAATTTGTCGCATACTTTGTTTTCTTTAATATTCAATATATGGGAAAATTCTTGGAACATGTGTTAGTCATAAAGTGGAATCATAAAGTGGAAGTTTGTAAATCCTCCATACTTGCAAGAACTTTGTGTATGCTCGGGGGATACCCCTCCTCCCTCCAAGGGAATAAATAATTTGATTCATCCTTTATATAATTGGTATATTTATTTATATAACCACGTACTGAGTTTTGTTGCACAAAAAAAAAAAGCAACTTTCCATTTTTTTCTTTGCACTCAAGTGCTTCATCAAAATGGTGTCATGCTGTGTGGTTTTCTGGAACCTGAATATACTTTCTCAATACTCTGTCCAGATCTTGCCCTTGGTGACCAAGGCTGCAGTTCACCCACTTGCTGTGAATTAAGATTTCATTCTGGAAACTAATCACAATATACCTTATTACCTATAACATTTGTCACTAATGTGGGCTGTGTCTCGTGTGCATACATGTTACTTTCTGGAGAGTCTGGTAATTAGATCTGAAGCTATTATCAAGTTAAAAAAATCTTTTCAATGAAAACAAAACAAAAAAAAAAAAACAATGCCTGCTTCAAAAAAAAAAAAAAAAAAAAAAAAAAAAAAAGGCTGGGGAAAACAGTGTAAAAAAATGTATGAGTCATATATCCCTGTATATATGCAAACATGACTTTATTTCCACAGTTGGAGAAAAGTAAGTTTGATTGGGTAGGCAGTAGGTAATCACCACAGAAAATGAAAACCAATGTCTTTTTCAAGCAAGGTCAGTTTCATCTTATCTTCCAAATATTAAGCACTCAATTTCTCTGTCTAAAAATAGTCATCTTATTGACTTCCAATACAGAAAACATTTAAACATTCATAAGTAAAGTAATATTTTTGGGAAAAAAATGAAAAAAAAAAAAAAACCAACAACTAAAGGCTTCCCCTACAAATAACTGTTATTTCTTTTTCTTTTTCTATATACTTATGTTTGCAGGGAGAAATGTACAGACATTTTATAACTAATATTAAAAGTAGATTGCTTTTAAAGATTTTGTGTTGCACAAACCTAGGAATCACTGCTAAACTGTCTTAATCTACAAATACACTTCAAAACATCCTGAAACCAAATGTTATCCCTTTACTCTTGAATTTTATGCTGAGAGTACCAGGCTGGAAGTATCAAGACAACATTGAATGCAAGGGAATGCTCTGAAGAAATACTTTAAAATTAGAAGACTGAATTTACATTTTATAAATGATGCATGTTAAAGTTCTAATATATTAATTTCTTAATGTTCAGGGACATCTAAAACTGGAACAATTTATTTAAAAACTAAAGCAAGTTTCAGCTAAACAAAGCAGTCCTACATGTATAATTTTCTTTCTTTCCTTTTTAAATGTCCCTTCTATACAGCCGATTCACTGAACATAGCCCACAATTTCCAAGGGAAAAACTGATTCAGACGATACAGAAAACATGGGCTTAGTTCTCTTTACGGTAGCTTTTGATTTGTTTTCAGCTCTAAATTTAATAAAAATCCCCTATGAAAGATGGGATGCCGAAATCTTTTACTGTTCGAGTAATGAAAGAAACCTTTCTTTGCTACAGAACCATCCTCCTCTCCACCAACCAGACAGTCCGTCTGTTTACGAGAAAAACAGTTCTATTTGACCCAGACATTTACAACTCTTACAAGCCATCTTTTTATTTATCGTGGATATCAATTAGCCTGAGTCATGAAGCCCGACCGCATGAAGGGGCGACACGTGATTCAATCACTATTTTTAAAAGTCCACATATTTCAAACTCTCTCCAGCCATTGCTGGCTTCTCCCCCTTTGAGGACCTGGCCTCCGCAGTGTTTGTTCGTTAGATGGCAGTCCCGGGGAAGCCTCGTCTTGTGGAAGCCTCTCCTCTGGCACATTCGAGAAAATCACGGAGGAGACTTGGGCTGGTGCTAGTTTCTAGTCACTTACAGATCAAATGAAGCTAGAGGAACACCAAGGAGAGGGGGATTTGAGGCAGGTGCGGCTGGGTTTCTGCAGTGGCCATCGAACCTGGGTGAATGCCACACGTTCTTAAGTTGGGACCCGAGCCAGACGACGCGTCCGGGTCGGGGTACCCGCCCGCAATCCCTTCCTTGGGAACCCTTCGGTCACGCCCCCCAGCTCCGCGTTCCCGCAGCCCGGCACGCGCTGCGGTCCCTCTCCGCAGCTGCCCACGTGGTGGAGCCCGGAACAGCGCGATGCGGAGGAGCGCCCTCAGGGCGGGAGTGAGATGGGGATGGGAGGCTAGGCCAGCACGACCCAGCCGAGTCGGTCCCCGACTCGGGGCCCCCACATTTCCTCCCCTGGAGGGAGGGAGGCGACATTCCCGAGCCAGTTCTCCCCGGCGTCTGCCGCGCCCTCTGGCGGCCGTCGCCGAGACGCGCCCTGGGCACGAGGGGCCGCCTGTCTGGGTCCCCTTTCCAGGGCTCGGGGGCCCGCGGTGGGATCGCTTTCCTCCGAGTAGAGCCACGCGGACCGCGCCCTGTCCGCCCCCGCCCCCCGATTACGCGCGAGCACCGGAAAGGCGCCACGGGCGCCCGAGCCTGGCGTGGAAAGTGCCCTGCGTAGCAGTCTTCGGGGGTCCCCTTTCCCCCCAGGTGTGCCCCTCCCGCCGCGTCCGGGCTTTCCACCACGCAGAGAAAGAATGCCGCATGCATGCACTTATTTATTTATTTTGCAACAGCTGCAAGAAAACAATGAAGCTTTTTCACAGAGCGGGCCGGCGCGCTCTCCAGTCGAGCTGTTGTTGTTTTCAATGAAGCTCCGGGGCCGCACTCCCCGCCCACCGCGCCCGCAGCCCGCCCGCTCGCCCGCCCGCCCTGCCACCTCCGGGGCCACCGAGTCCCACCGGAGCCCGGGGCATTGTTTTTAGGAGTCCTGCGGGAGGGGAGGGTGCACACAGGGCTGGCCAGCGCAGTGCGGGTGGGGGCGGAAGCGTGGGCGCGCGCGTGGCTCTGTGTGCGCGCGGGGGCCAGCGCGGGTGGAGGCGCGGGGGGCGGTGCCTCCCTAGCCCGGCTCCCCACGCCCGCGCTCCGCTCCGCACGTCCCTGCGATCCCGAACTCCGGCTCTTGGCGCCTGCCGAGTCCGGGCCCGGCCCTCGGCGCGCCGGGACTGCGGCTGTGGCCGCTTGGAGTGTGCGCGCGGGCACGTGTGCGCGGCCCCGAGAGCGCGCGCGTAGAGCCCCCAGTGTGTGGCGGCGGCGGCGGCGCGGTGAGGCTGAGGCTCTTGTTTACCAGCATTAACTCCGCTGAGCGGAAAAAAAAAAAAAAAAAAAAAAAAAAAAGCGGGGGAGGGGGGGACCGAGGAGGAGCGAGCGCACCGGGCGAACTCAAGAGAGGCGAGCGACAGGGAAGCCGCCAGCGAGCCTGTCCCGGCGCGCTTGGCGCTCGCAGCCCCTCGGCCCCGCTCCTCGGACCCTCCACGCCTCTCCCGCGCCTGCGAGAGCTCCACGGCGCGCGGCGCGCTCGGCTTTGACCTTCAGAGAGCCGGAGCCCCCGCGCACGGAGTCGGCGGCGGGCGGGGGCCGACGCGGGGCGGCGGGAGCACTGAGCGCTGCACGGCCGCCGCTTTGTGTGTGTGTCCTGGATTTGGGAAGGAGCTCGCGGCGGCGGCGGCGGCGCTGAGGGAGGAGGCGGCGGCGAGCGGAGCCGGGAGGAGGAGGAGGAGCCGGAGGAGGGGGAGCCGCTCATTCATTTCCACTCCGCATATCTGCCCCTCGCCGGCCTCGCCCGCGCCCCGGACTTCGGAGCAGTCTCGCCAACTGCGTCGCGCTCTCCCACCGCGGAGGCTTGGGCGGTCGCTCCCTCCGGGCATCTGGGGACGTTTGTCTTCGCCAGTGGCGATTTGGGCTTCGCTCCTCTTTCCCTACAGTTTTTTTCCCCTCTTCTGCATCTCTGGGTTTGCAAATGGAGGCCGACGACGCCGACAGCCCGCCCCGGCGCGCCCCGGCTTCCCGACTCCGCCGCGCCGTGGGCCGCTGCTGCCGGCGCTGAAGGGGCCGCCCCGCGCCACCCTCCCCGTCCAAGCTGCCTTCTGAGGATCGTCGCCTGCGCTCTTGTTTTTGAACGGGAGTGAGGACTAAGTTGCAGACTTTTCTTTTTTTCCTTTCCTTTTCTTATTTTCTTTTGAGAAAAGGGAATTTCGTCCCAAATAAAAGGAATGAAGTCTGGCTCCGGAGGAGGGTCCCCGACCTCGCTGTGGGGGCTCGTGTTTCTCTCCGCCGCGCTCTCGCTGTGGCCGACGAGTGGAGAAAGTGAGTATGTGCCCGCCGCCCGCGGCCACTGCGGGAACTTTTCCTCCGAGGGGCTGCTCCCTGTTTGGGAAAACCCAGTTGCCACGGGCGCAGCTGTCGGACTCCGGGGCTCGGGAGCGGAGGGTGGGGCTCTCCCGGAAGGCCAGAGCGGAGCTGGGCGTGAGTTTGCGGCTCAGGACCCCCACCGACCCTGGCTCCGCGCATCCGCGCGCGGGAAGGGCCTCAGGGCTTTCTCTTTCGCTGTCCCGGGAGCGCTGTCCCGCGCGCGGCCTGGTGGGTGGGCAGCTCTTGCTCCAAGGCTCTTTAGGGACAGCACACGCGTGGGCACCTGGTGGGGAAGCTGGGGTGTGGGTGGGCCCGGTTCCCCTGCCACCCTCGCTTCTCCTCACCTCGGCGCGCGGGCCTCCCCTCACCCAGTGTCCATCCCGCACAGCGCACCAGGTTGACAGCACCTTTGGAGGTTTCATGGGTGGCTGCTGGGGTGGACCAGAGTGCGCCGTGGGGGCGAGCGGAGCCTCCTGCCCCGCGGGGTGCAAGTTGTCCTTGAGGGGGAGGTGCGGGCTGGGGAGGCCTCGCGGCCCCAGGACACGTTTCCAAACATCACAGCGCGGCCTCCTGTCGTCCTACTTGTTTAGCCCATCAGGCCCCTAGAGTTCTTGGCCTTTTGCATCTCATGAGATGGTGGGTGTCTAGTCCCCTCTTCCCTCACGGCTTGGTGACTCGGGGTTCACCGGTGTGGTTCTGGGGTTCAGGGTGTCCTCCCTAGGCAAGTGTGAGTTTGGGATCTTCGTCAGACTCCTTCGGGGGTGCGAGGCTTGGATCCCCAACTTTGAGGGTCCTTGGGCAGTCTCAGTTTCTACCCAGCCCAGGACACCTCTTCTTCCTAAAAGCGTCTAAGACGTGGTAGGGACATAAACCCATGCGCAGATCCGACGTGCTTTTCCACACACGTGTGCTCTCAGCGCGGGTTCAGAGACATCCACAACCACTCGGCCACGAGGGGACACCTGGACTCCCAGCCCGGGGGAGAGGTGTCGTGTGCGGTGGTTTGGGCAGCTTCAATGTGGTAGTTTTGTTTTGTGAGCGCGGAGCCCTGGCCCTGGTTGTTGTGGCCAGAGTTGTGCTGCACTGCCCCCCCCCCCCCCCCGCGCTCCGCACTTCCTTTGTACATACTTAATAAGCAGTATCGCTCCACGCTCTCTATCGCTTGCAATCTGATAGCTTTTGTTTTGGTAGTGTCGGGTAGGAGTGTGTGTGTGGGTTGGGGGGTGTCTGGGAGTGAGAACCCTCCACAGTGGTAGGAAGATGGTTTGTTCTCGAGAAAAACAGGGTGGCATACTGGTAGTTTTGAGATGATAGAGTAATTTGAACACGATTAAAAGTTTAAATGCGGGCTCTGAGCTGGGGCTGGGGAGGTGAGGGCGTGCGGATGAGTAATAGGTGCAAAATGTATGCAGGTGGTGCATATTAACTTCGAAAAATCATGGCTGGTTCTTGAGGAGTTAGCGAGGGGGAGATGATGGAGGCTGCGCGGGGCATGCGGGCCCCACCACAGGGGTAGTTAACAAAAGACTGTTTCTATAAACCCTTGAACTTTTAAGAAATGTCTACCATGGAGTGCAAGCAGATCTTTATAGAGCTGAGCTGTTTACTGACTAGAGTAAGGCGCAGACTGGGACCGACACACAAATCTGGGCTCTCCTGTCCTTTGTTTTCCAAACTTTGAACACACTGGATTGGGCGAAAGGCTTCTGGCTCCCATCTACTCAGGCGTTTAGATGGTGTTTGGGGGCAGGGAGGATTTCTAGCCTTTAAGGACTAAATATGGTTTAGAAGGCACTAGGAAGGAGTCCATTTTACTATGGCATCTTATTGAACTATGTACTTTCTCTACTTTTGTTATTTAATGGAAGTTCTGAAACACAAAGTAGCAGCGATGGCCTTGCTTCTTGGGGCAACATGTAGGCATCTGAAACAGGTTGTGGCTGGGTCTTCATTAACAATATTCTTTGTCCAGGAGAAGGATATTTTAATGTGTGCTGTTTTTAATCCGGTGATGACTGACCAATCTCTTCCTAAGGCTTCCTTAAAATGTGATGGATGGCTAGAAAGCACCCAGAATCCTGGTTAGGGCCTGCTGAAGTCCTGACTCAAGTCGGTGTCTGCCTTTCCTGATTAAAGTAGAAGGGTTTCATGAAACATAGGGACACCAGCTAGCCCACTAAACTCAGGAGTAAGTCTGGGTCCCAGCAGAGGCCATCTTTGAGCCATGCAGGTTCACTTGCTGGCTTAGGGATTGGTGATTCTTTGGAGTGTGGCAGCAATGTGATGTTTCCATCTCTAACCTTGGACTGTGGAAGTTTCTTGATGAAAACACAGCCTTGCAGACATGTTTGCTTTGTAGCAGGAGGCTGAGCAGAGCTTCTAAGTAAGAGAGTTTAGAAGTTATGAGTGGCAGCCACATAATCTAGGAATGTTTTCTGTTTTGAAAATCAACATGCATTTTAGAGTTACTATGGCCAGGTTCCTAAAAAAAGATTTAATCATCTTTCTGCCCAGGGCACAGTAATGTCCAATTGTTAGAGGAATGGAGGTATGTGAAATGTTGGTGTTTAAAGAAGTCAGTGTTTTTGTACCTATAAGAAAGAGAACCCAGAAAAAGAGCTTTTGAAAGAACCTAAATAGCAAATTATAGTTTAGGTTTTTCTGTAGGGAAATAGCGAGTCAGCTGTACTTTGTGGAAGGCCAGGCCAGTGGGGCTCAGGACTTGAAGTTTAAAAGGTCCTATGTTTGAATTGTTGAAAGGAATAGACAAAAACAGCTCTGTGAAATACACCAGGGCATTTAAAATATTACAAATAGAGAAAGAAGTCAGTTACAAAACACCGACTATCCCATGATCCATTTATGTGAAATGCTCTGACAATCTAAAGAGAGAAGTTGATCCCCAGGTGCTGGGGGAGGAAGGGCTAAAGGCTGCAGGAGTGTTGGGGGGGGGTGATGAAAATGTTCTAACTTCAGTTTTCAGGTGAAGGTTAAACAACCCTGAATATACTAAAAAACCAAGCCAAACCAAAACAAAACTTTTGAGTTGTATGTTTGAAAATACTTATCTCATAGTATGTGATAATATTTGAATCCATTTTTTTTTTAATTACAAAGATTGAGGAGAATGCATTGTGCCACGTAGGATGTACGATTTGACTAAATAAGATTATTCAGTAAACATTTATGTAGGTTGGTGCTGCTCCTTTTTTTTTTTTTTTCTAAGTTCATGAGCTAAACGATCCATGAATTAGTGCAATACAACAATTTGATAATTGAAGTTGTAACAGCAGGGATCGGATGCCAAGCAAGAAATAGACAAACGGAAAAAAGAATCTTGGTCATTCTTAGCTTAGGAATGGAGGGATTGAATTTAAAACAACACACAAATGCTAATGGTAGTGTGATTCTTGACAGTAAAATATCTTCAAATTGAACTTAAATTGATGGTCTGTAGGGTTTAGGAGCCCAGGCAAGGGGCCTGTTTGTGCATACAGTCTGCCAACAAAGAAATAATGTGTTGTTTGGAGCGGGAAGGGAAGTTCATCTCTTGTATTCACTGCAAGTGGTAGTGACAGCAGAGGAGGGTGTGCTGCTGTTTTCTTTTTCTTTAATTTAAAATTTGTATTTCTTAAATATCCACAATCTGAGTAGATGTGTCTGGTTGGTTACCATTGTTTAGGAATTAAATGAAAAATTAAAATTGCTTAGAACAAAAGATTTAAGGATACAGTCAAACAGCTTTGTTTTTAAAGAACTGTTGTGCTTTTATCTAAATGTACTTTGCCTTTTCCTAAGGAACAGACATAGAAAATAATATTTGCATTATTGGGTTTGGCCTTTGTCTCAAGGTTACTTATTGTTGAAAATATTTCCTGCCCTTGTTATTGTTGCAAGGTAGGTCAGTAATGAGCATCAACTGTATCATTTTCATCCCCCCTCCTCTCCCTCTCTTTTCTTCTTCCCTTTTTCCTCCCTTTCCCTCCCCCCCCCCCCAATCCCCTTGGAGGTACTTTTGTTGCCTTTTTAATCGGTTTCATTTGATTTGTAAGAGTGTACTTCCAGGAACTGAGTCTAGCCAGCAATTAGAAGGTACCTACTGTATGAAAGCTGAACTAGTGCTAAGCATTGAACTTACCAACAGAGAAAGGACTTTCCTTGCTACTGCCTTTTGGGCATTTTCCATGTATTTGCATAGAAGAAGTTACTTGAAAAATCAGGGAACTCCCTCCCCCCATACACAGACACCAGACCTAACTTGCAGCACACATGATGAACTCCATGGTGGGGTGCATTTTAAAGGCCCTGTAAAAACGTTTTTGTAGGCTTGGCTGGTCTGGTAGGCAGCCAGTGCTACACTATGATAGGCGGCTCCCTCATGTTGTAATTTCACCATACACCAGAGCATACGGGTATCCATCTATCTAATCACGCACCTTTGTAGCACTGGTGTAAACAGTTGTGGTTAAAACTGTACTTGTTCACCTATAAGTCTAGCACTCAGCAGTCTGAGGCAGGAGGATCACCAGTTTGAGGGCAGGCTGTGCTACCAGAGAACCCTTGTCTCAAAATCAAAACAACAACAAAATAAGAATTAGTCACAGGTATGTTCATAAATGTTGCCTGGCATGGTTCAAATTTCAGGAAAGGTGGGACCAGTTTCAGAGGCAACTGCTGCATGTATACATCGCTCCCACAGCTTCAAGATAATCATGAGGAAGTATTCAGAATATCAGGTCTTTGTGATTTAAAGATGAATGAACTTAAAAAAAAAGTATGCTAGGTAAGAATGAGATGAAGAGGCAATAATACCTTAAGGGTTCACCCCCCCCTCCAAAGCATACAGGGGCAGTTTTTCTCTGGGTTATAATTTTCCCAGAGTTGTTTTCAAAGCTCACTTAAAACTCAACTCCAGTTCATAGAGGTATTTGTGCCTGGAGGCCAGCTTGCTTTGA